AGTTTATGATATAAAGATTTGTAATTAAATGACGTTATAAAGCGTTTTTATGCGGTACGTGTATAGTGTTTTTTTTTTAAATAAAAATGATTTTAAAAATCTTATTAGAAGAGAGGTGAATACTAAATTTTATTCGTCAAAATGAAGTAAAAGATAAAATATAAACTATGCATCATTGTGATGTATTTTTTATGTGATTTTGATTTAAATTATTGTCCCTTTTTTATTGAAAAAAATTATAATTTATAACTTTTTTCCATGAATAATTATCTATTTAATTTAAAATATTCATTTAATATATATTTTTCCAAAACTAAACTTATATTAAATATAGATTATTAAAATAATAAAAAATGGGACACGTACACGCATGCATTTCTCCTAATTTTAAAGAAGAAAAGACGTTACGGATTAATACTGCGAAATATTATAAAAATAACTTGATTAAACATGACTAACTTATTTAAGAAAGAAAAATTATTTTGAAAATTAAAATAAAATAAGAAATATAAAAAACTGAAAAGACATTCGTAAAACTATGCAAGATAAGATGTTTAACACTTCTAAAACAACAATAAGTATGAAAAATTAATATAGATTAACATTTTTAAAAGAATACTAAATATGTAAAAATAAACAATGAATACTAGTTTAGATGAGAAATCTTAATGGAAAAATAATCATATATTCGTGATAAGAACGATGTTTGTTTTTCTTTTGTGAATAACACTAATGGGTCGTGTGTTTTAGGTTGAAATACTCTCAAGTTCTCATTGAACACATAATGTGATCCATCAAGCCCATCTTTTTATCATTTCACCTGAGCCACGTTAATCCTCGATCTCATATGTTCATTTGTACCCTGTATTTATTCAAAAATATAATATTATTTTCATTGTAAAATAAATTTTAAATTCATTTTTTCAAAAGTTACGTTAAACAAACTTTCTACAAATATTTTAAATTAACTTTTTAAAAATATTTTCAAATCATTTTTTTGAACAAGTTTTAGATTTATTTTTTAAAAAATTCCCGAAAATATTATAGATTTAGTAGAAGGGAGAAAATGAAAATTATCGATCCAGTGCTAAAAATATAATATTATTTTTAGTGTAAAAAAATGTTATTTATAATTTTTTTAAAATAAAATTAGTTTGAATTAACTAGAAAGTATTTTTTTTAAAATAGTTTTTTTAACTAAAAAATAAAAATAAAGAGTTACTACAATTTTTTAATATATATATATATATATATATATATATATATATATATATATATATATATATATATATATATAAAGAAAATATGGTACCTCATGTCATTATATTTATTCCTTGAAAAATAGTTTTTTAAAAATATTATATATAGTAAGTTTATATTTCAAATTTTGTTATAAAAACTTCAATCATATATTTATGTATTTCATATTTCAAAATTAAAAAAAAAATTATATAATATTTTTAGATTTTTAAATATGTTTGGATCAATAGATATATCATCGTATATTTTTAAATAAATATGAAAATTGCTTACTTTTTTAAAATGTTTTTTTTTGTCAAAAAGTGAATATACTTTATAATTAGTATGAAAACATAGAATAAGACAAAGATGCGATAGAGTGAGAGTGATATATGACAATATATTTAAAAAAAAAAAAAACTTAAAAAGCTATAGGTAAACATAATATGAATGCATTGAAATAAAGAATCAACTCAAAAACAATATGTAAATATTAGATGAATCCAGCGCAGATCGATCATACAAAGGTTTTGTCATATTATTTATACAATAAATGAACTTGTTATTTCTAACTATTGAAGTTGTCGTAGTCCAAATAATTTTACGCACATTAAATAGTTGTATTGTATCTTAAACTATATCCCTTGATTGATGCATCTACCAATAACACTTTTAGAAACATTCTTCGTCCCCATGCATGTGCAAACAATCCAAACAATACAAGAGTCTAAATGCCATTCCATTCCTTAATTTATTTTAGTTGGAATTGTCCACCTTTTCTTAATCTACCATTATTGAATTAGCTTTAACTTAGGTATGAAACTCTTTAAATTTCTTAACCATCTATGAGGTTAATTAGATCCCGGCGTGGACATAAGATCTCAATTAGAAAGATCATTTTACTTGACTAGATTGAAGTTTGAATGTCAACACCACGATATGACATTACAAATTTTCTTAGGTTTTAATTGAAAAAGAGGGTTGTGTATTTCTTTTAGAATGTGAGGATGGGGATGAACGAGGGCACTTGAAGAAGCGTCATTAAATATGGTTGGCAATCACAGGGTGTCCCAAGAGCCTTAATTGAATGGTGGTTATGTCCGATCCAGTAGAAGTAATTAATAGAGGAATAGGACAAGTAAGCCAATTAATTATCTTCATTGCATGTTTTGGGTGTCCAAAGGCCTTACAAGCCATGTGAATGATATTTATCTATATGGAGGGTCCCACACATAAAGGTCACTGTCCCTTTCATGGTGGGATATGCCCCCTGCTTCCTTTGTATTTTTTCACATTTCCTTTAATCCAAGGGTACCCCAGCATGCATATGCGAAAGGTTCATTCCATTTTTTTTCCCCACCCTAACACCAAAGAATAATCAAAATGGAACTTTCATATTGCTGGTCATGCTATCTGGTTTCAGAAAATGACCCACACTATTCATCTCTGCATGCACACCATTTCAAAATTATTAAATGCTTTTCACGGTTTCACCTATTCATCGGTACATGCATTAACTACTGAATGAATATAAATATTGCAGCGTCCAAAAAGGTTCCACTGAATCCAATCTCAATGATTGACCTGATATCTCCTTCTCATCTAACCGTACAATTTATGAACAAAATATTATTCCATGTTAAATAGATTTTGAACGAAACGCGTTCCTAAATGCATTTAATTTTTATATATTATCTATGATTGTAAATGTTAGTTAATAAAAATTGTAATAGGTCTGGTTTTTAAGATTTACAGTGACTAATCCATGAACTATTTACTCAAAGCAAATTACCCCAAATATATATATATATATATATATATATATATATATATATATATATATATATATATATATATATATATATATATATTAGAGCGCAGGTAGTAACAGAGCAAGCACGTTGTTCTCTTATGTGCAAACAATGTTATTAGATTCCACTACCTCCTTTTCCCTAATTTGAAGGAAATGTTGCTTTATTCTGTTCATCTTCGTGTCTTTTGCCGCAGGTAAAAACAAAGGAACAAAGATATGCTACAATGCACCATGGAAAGTGGAAAAAAGTTACCATAAAAACTGACGCGCTAATTATATTCCGTGAAGGAACTTGGTAAGAAGCAAACGTTGATCCCAGTTTGGGGTTGCCCATTTCATACACATCCCAAACGTTTGTACGAAGCCAGATGCAACCGATTCATGACTTTGATTTTTCTACTCTATTATATAAGTTTTTGTGAATTTTACTACTTTTTTTCGTTACTTATTAGTTTACAAAGTATAGGTATAGAACTTTAAAAGGAAAAGCAACCGCTAGACGCGGGAAATAGGCACAAAATGATGATTGATGACCGACAAGGTTTCATTGCAGACCCGCAATGCCTTGGATTGTATGAGAAAAGAAAAGTTTTCGTGACAGTTGTTAAGTCTACAGTTTTGATATTCACGATCCAATGCTCAAGATTCTCAAGATGATGGTATGCAAATTTGAATTCAAATCTAGAATCCAAGACGGTTTGCACGTGGAGTGGTGTTCCTTGAACCAACAATCCAATTCTTTTAATCATACAAATTTAAGAAAGGATTTCTTTCATTAAATACATTGACCCTTGTCAGTGCTCTTTAATGGTTCTTGAGATTCACTATCTGTTTGCCCACCACCGTAATCTGAATTGGGACCTGTGTTCTCTGATGATGGCCTCCATGGGCGATTGGGGACCATTCCTTAAGAACAATATGCTTTCATTTCCTACCCCCCTTTGAAAAATGTTCCATTGAGTTTACGTGCAAAGAGGAACAAGATGCTCTAGTAGTATGCCAGACGTCCTTATGAACAATATTTTCCCCTCCACTTTTGCACGCATAGAAACTAGAGAGTCAATATGTATACTACGGTAGATATTTTCAAAGACGAGATGGGAAGATTATATTAAAACAACACCAACACTCATGAAACTCATGAAGTTGAGAGTGAAAGCTCTTTAACAATCCTGGCATGTACAATGATTATCACTCTGAATGATGGAGAAATAGAAAGAAGCTTAAAAGGTCATGGAGAGAAAGGAACTTTATATCATACACTATTATTATGATGCCTGCTAATAAGCAGCATAAATTTTCATAACTTAATGGTATCATTATTCATTAATGCATATATATTGATATTGACAGCCTAACTAAAAACATTGAAATGAATGATCTTATGACAAATTTAAGACTCTGATATGAGAATGCTAATAAATTTTACTAACAAGTTGAAAGCAAAAGAAACGAAATTTATAAAAAATAAAAACAAAAGTTGTAGAATCATATAAGAGAGAGCAAATAACAATACACTAATAATCATCAGTGGCAACAGAGAGTGCAACTGCTACTGCCTTTGCAGCCATAACTTCAACTCTCCCATTCATCACTATACATTACATATTCTCTGCAACCTACTCTTTCTCTGCCATTTTTATTTCTCAACTGCAATATTCATAACAATTCAAATCATCAATAAGGAGAACAAATTTCTCCTCTTATAACCCCCGCTTTGCTGCAACCTCTTCTCTGTTCCTTTTGTCGATAAATATAAAGAACAAACAAAAAGCTGCTTCGCAAAAACTTGTGGGTGTCTCATAACGAGTTTCCTTCATAAGCGACGAGAGTCGCATAACATTCTAGAGTATCACCGCAGAAGAAACGGCCGCAATAACAAAAAAAAAACGTGAATCTCGTTGCTCGTAGAGGGCGAAAGATCAGAGGAAAAAAGTCCTCAAAAGAATCAATAAAAGGGTGGTGGTGGAGGCGATGCGTATGGGAGTCCAACGATAGGTGGCAATGGCCCTTCATATACAGGGGAAGGTGGTGGGTTATAGTATACAACAGGTGGCGGCGGGGAAACTGCTGGTGGAGTTTCGCACGGAGGCGGTGATGCCGGCGGCGGTGGCGAACTGTATTGAACCCGTGGAGTTGGAGGGGGGGATGGAAATGGTGGTGGGTGATAAGGTGTATGAGATGGAGATGGTGGGGGATGATAAGGTGTGTGCGAAGGGGCTGGTGGGGGGTGATAAGGTGTGGGAGAAGGTCTTGATTGGGGAGGGGGTGGAGGAAGTTCTGTACAAGGTGGTGAAGGTGGAAAATGAACAGGGGAGGGAGGTGGTGGGGGTGATAAATAAGGATAAGCATGTGGTGAGGGTGCGTGATGAGGTGTTGGAGGTGGCGATGAGCCATAATTATGAGAAGGTGGTGGTGTCGACAATGTAGGAGCTGGTGGCGATGGTGAATTTGGTGGCGGCGGAGAGTGGACACCATACGGCGGCGTTGGAGTAGGTGAAGGTGGCACTGGATGAGGAGAAGGTGGAGTGTATGATGGAGGCGGCAATTGTGAAGGGGGAGGAGGTTGTGGAGTGTAGGCAGGTGGAGCAGGGGAAGAATGTGGTGGTGGCAAATACACTGGAGAAGGAGGAGTATGACCAGGAGGTAGTGGAGAAGGTGCCACTGCCGGTGGTGGAGGGGAATGTCCCACCACCGGTGGTTCCGAAGGAGGCGTAGGCACCACTGCATGCGGTGGCGAAGGATGTGTTGCAGGCGATGGAGGTGTAGGCTGTTGTGAAGGTGGTGTAGGTGATGGAGAGGAAGGTGTCCCAGGTGATGGAGGTGAAGGCAGTGAAGGTGAAGGTGTTCCAGGTGATGGAGGTGAAGGCAGTGAAGGTGTTCCAGGTGAAGGTAACGGTGAAGGCAGTGAAGGTGTTCCAGGTGATGGAGGTGAAGGTAGAGAAGGTGTTCCAGGTGAAGGTAACGGTGAAGGCGTTCCAGGTGATGGAGGTGAAGGTAGTGGTGAAGGTGTCGTAGGCGAAGGGTGTGAAGGTGAAGGAACAAATGGTTTACACCTAAAGGAGTTACAGTCGACAGGCTTAGACAAGAAAGCCTGACATTGCGGCGGAGGCCTCTGCAGAGGCCTGGCCGGTAAGCAGTTGACCCTATCGTCAAACGCCGGCAAGGCGAGACAGGCGGGAGGCTCGCCGGTGAAGAAGTTAAAGGAGTAAGTGAAGTTCTGAAGGTGAGGTAACATACAAATACTAGCAGGAATTTTACCGGAGAGTAAGTTGTGGGCGACGTTGAGCTGCTCCAAGCTCACAGCGTTTCCAACGGCGTTGGGTAAGGGACCAAGAAGTTGGTTAAAGCTGACGTCGAACACCGTCAGGTTCTTTAACAACCCTATCTCGGAGGGCAAGCAGGATCGGAATGCGTTGTTCATGAAAATGATCTCGTTGAGGTCGGACATGTTGCCGAGGCTGGCGGGAATGCAGCCGTGGAACCTGTTGTTGGCGAGGACGATGACGGAGACGGGGGAGTTGCCGAAGTTGTCAGGAAGTTCAAAGACGAAACGGTTGTCGTTGATGAAAATGGCGTCGAGATCTTTGTCGAATAATTCCCTGGGCACAGCTCCTTCGAATTCGTTGAACCTGAGATCCAAGAACTTGAGCGAAGGAAGGCGCAGAACCACCTCAGGGAACCTCCCCGCGAAGCGGTTGTTACTGAGATCGAGCTCGTAGAGGAGTATCAACCTGTCGAACTTGTGAGGCACCGTGCCGCAGAATCTGTTGGAGTTGATGTGGAATAAAGCAAGATCTACGAGCAAACCGAGCTCCTCCGGTAAGTAACCGGCTATGTCGCCATGGTTGAGATCAATGCCTGCAACGGTACGGATGTTAGGGTTGTCAAGGGCGAATGCACAGTAAACTCCGGTGTAACTGCAAACGTCGGATCCTACCCAGTCTGTTGTCTGGTTACGGGGATCAGACAAGATGGCTTGCTTCCAAGCTTGCAAGGCTATATAAGCGTTTCTAAGACGGTCATTTTCGAAAGCAAGGGAAGGGTCTACGCTAACATTCTCTCCTCTGTCGCCGAACTCGTCCCTGTAGTAGAGAAGGTGGCGTTGTTTGATGTACGTTGCTTGGGTGAGGGCCCCGTTGCCCAGAGGGGACGCATTGCCACACCAGGTTAAGGAGAGTGTGCCCAGGGACAAGGCAACAAGGAGGAGTGTTAGATTGGAGGAGTATGCTTCTTTCTTCTTCATCTCACATGAGCCCTTCCTCGCTCGCTCTGTTTGGATGAGACGAGATTGGATTGTTGAAGAAGATCTAAGGAAAATTCAGTTCAGGTATTGATAATAGGGGGCTCCTAGGGATTTTTCAGCTGAGTGGCTCTTCTTTATGACCCATGGAGAGAAAGAGAGAGAGAGAAAGAGGGAGTGTGCGAGAAATAATTCATCCAAGGGACAGCTATGCCACAGCTCAAACCACACCAGATTCTCTCTTCCACATTTACCTTCTTTTTTCAAATTATTAAGTAAAATTTTTCAGTTTCATGAAAATATTAAGTATCACAAAACGCAAAGGAGAGGAAGAGAGTTTATTTGTAGACAGTACTCTGCCAGCCACGGATATTCAATTGCTACCAACTGCAATATTTTAAGTAATGCCCTGATTCTCTCTGTTCTCTATGTCTCGTAATTATTTTAAATATTAATTAAGTTAATTGTGATTTGGAAGCGCAATGCTTCACTTGTTAAATCTAGTATTAAACTTAATTAAGTTAATAATTGGAATCATGTTAGCACCATGAGTCGGTGGTGGCAAAATTAATCCAATTGATTTATATGTTGAACTATTTGAATTATAAAATTGATGTATGGTTGTCGATGTTGGCAGACATTAGAGTGAATTTAATTGAATCGCTATCTATCCTCTGCCAAAACGTGTGAACTGAATGAAGCAGGAAGAAGAGAGCACATCACTCCGTACAGTGTTTAAGAGTCTACGCTACCGTCAAAGAGTTTCAATTCATTACCATTTTTTGTTCCAGACGTGCATCCACATTTCTCATCACATTTTTTATCTGAATCATGTAATTACTAATTATATTATATCTTCACGTCAGAGTAATTTCAATATAATTTTTTTTTTCGTAACTATTTGTCTCTTTTAGTTATTCACTATATATATTATAATATGGGATGTGATTCTATTTGCATTTTCGGGTATTCACATCACTAACTAATTCTTTCTTTTATTGCGTTGGTTTTGGATTTTACAAGGACCATTAAAACCACTCTCAAATCCTAGGTTTTTCTTCTCTTCCTAATTTTGATTGTTTTTTTTTTTTTAATTTCACTACTTTTATTTTTTATTTTCCTGTCTATCTTTAAGAAATTGTTTTACTACCAACCATCATGTGATTTTTATTTATCAATTTTTAATTTATTTTTGTTTGTCAACAAAGTTGTTACAATTTATTTATACTCATGTTATTTCTGCCTCTAAAAAATAGAGTTCCCTTTTTCTAAAAGTATGTATACCTTACTTCACTAATCAGCATGTTATAATGTTGAAACAATTTTTTTTTCATATCTTATGTTGTCTACAAAAAAATAAATATATTAAAAAAATACAAATGAAAGTATAAGTTAAATTGATTAGTATTATTCGAATTCTTGATTAAGTCATTTAGAGTTCTAATAAATATTCTACGTTTTCATTTAAAGATGTCATAAAACAACACATATAAAATGAGAAGAATATGAAATAAACTTAATTTTTTTCAGTCAAATCAAAATAATATTAGATTCACAAAAGACAAATTATCAATTTTTATATTTTTTTCTCGATAATATCATTTAGAATAATTATAAGATGCATATTCGTCATATTTCTACATAATCATTTAAAATGGAATAATTCATTATATTTCATTAATATTTTTTCATTCTCGTATTTTTTTTAATTCTTTCGCCTAGGTTTCATTTTTTTCTTTATCTTTAAATATTTCCTCACAAGTTATCTAAAATTAAAAAGTTAATTAAATTTTAAAAAATATATATTTAAAAAATACTTTAAAACGTATTTAAAGATTTGTTTCGAGGATAATATAATTTAGTATAAATCTAAATAAAATACGTATTTTATATTAAAATTGTTTTAAACTAAATTAAATATTTTTTTAATTATAAATAATATGAATATCAACCCAATAATATATTGACTAATGCGAAGAATAATTGATTATGTGAATATAGATCCAGTGATGCATTAAATGTATAAAAAAATTAATCATTTATTAAAATACTAAATTATATGACATTTATCATATAAAAATATATATTATCTAATTAGATAAATTAATTATTTATCATTTTTTAAATATTTATCTTAATTTTTTTTAAATATATAAAAGAGTTTATTTTATTTTAAATATATATTTTATTTAGATATAAAGTAAATTATATTACTAATTAAAATAAATTTATGAATATATTTAAAATTATTTTGAAATATAATTTTTTTAAAAGTTACTTGTAAGAAAATAATTATAAAAAGGAAAAATTGAAAAAAAAATCATGTGAGATAAGAAAAAATTTAATAAATTTCCATATATTTTTAATATGTGTGTAAATATAACGTGTTAACGGTGTGTATCCAAATCTCTCTCGTATTACTTAATATACAATTTCCTTATTATTATATTTTTATTTTACCGTTAATTATAAATACGATAATTACATGTCAACTTTTAAATATATAATATATTCTATTTACATTATATATCAAATTATTTAACGATATATTGTTTTTTAATAATGAAAATTGTATTAGGATAGTTAGTATTAAAAAGTGTTATGGTAAAATTTACATTATTTTATTTGTCATATCTATTAATTATCGTCATATCTATTAATTATCAAACAACATGTATGATAAAATAATTCATATATTTAAAAAAAATGTATTGTCGTGCTCATGTTGTACCACAGTGTAAATACATAATTAATATTCATGGGAAAAAAATTCTTAATATCCATGTCTTCCTAAATTAGCTTCTTCAAAAAATACAATTGACAAAAATCTAATTTGCATAATGAAAAGTGATCATAATAAAAGTTCAATGACCTTTTCACGAAGTAACAAAATTAAGATTGTTTTAACCAATAAGACATTATTGTTAGTATAACTTTGAATATAATGAAAAAGTCAACCAATTTATTGATTTATAATAATAATATATATAGTAATATTATTAATGTGTAACATGTTTCCTCAACACAATAAATATCAAAGCGTTTAGGTTTATGTGTTAGTTTTATGCGATTATTTATGTTTAAGAATTTATTACATTAATTGTTTTGCCGGTTTTGCTCTCTTTTTACATGTTTTATAATAACATGTACGCTTTTTTCTTATGTCATGATTCACAATTTTTTGTTAATTGCAAATTCAAACTTGTTTTTTTCTTCCAAACATTCAATTCTACACAGTTTTTTTTTTTGTGAGATTGATTAAGACAAATTAATTTATGTTCATATCGGTTTAGAATTTTGTTTTAATCATATTTCTAAACTAAAATCCAATTCGATTAAAACTAGATAAAATGTAGAATAAAATCGGATAAATTTATCTTGTTCGCACAATATATCAAACTTAACAACTATAAGTTAAGTCATATAATTAAAGAAAAATAATTATAATTAACATGCATTTTATAATATACAACTTAAAATAAATAACATTAATATAAATATAAAGGAGGTGTGAATAATACGTCATTAATATAGTAAAATAATGTACAAATCAACATGTTAACAATTTTCATTTTTACGCAGGAAGAAATAGGTATTATTGAATTTACGAATGCACGAGATCATCATTATATTTATGAAAAATACATACAAATTTAGTATTACGTGGGGGCAGTAAAACAAATATAGGAGTTCAATGTAAAATTGATGTGTATTTAGTAAATATTCTTATATACAATTAAAATGTAAATGATTTTACGAAAGGGTTAAAAAAAAGTAATGTCAAGTATAAGAATTATCAGTTTGAAAATATTACCGAAAAATATTAGAAAATAAAATTTTTAAAAATGATAAGGTAAGAAATAATATATAATCTCTTTCGAACGAAATTTTTTTTGAAAAAAAGAGAAACAGTGACAGCTAAGCAAAGGAGACATGATAAGTTCGAATCCTACTTTTCATGTTGGCAACTCCTCTCATCTCTGTCTTGCCTCTATAACGTGACGTGTTGCGCGTCCACATCACACTACTGTGGACTCTCGCCTTTGGGATTGGGACCCACGAAAGATGGCGGAAAAAACCTGTCCCCTGGGGACGCAAAACGACAGCCGCGGAAATGTCGTGATTGGGACCCACCCCTCATGTTGTTCCCAGCTGGATCATCGGTGGGTCCCATCTACCACCGCTGTGGTGCACCGCGTCCGCATAGCTCCACATCAACACTCGCTCACGTACCACCCTTTCCATGCTCTTTACAATTAACGTGCTTTTGCTTTCCTTGTTCACCCTCTGGAGGAACCAATCACACTCCAAATATTCCAAGTAGGGTAGTCAAAATTTAACCGATTTAGTTATAATTTCAGAAAAAAAAAACATTTAAATTAGATTTACTCTTCAAGTTCTGAAAAAAATAAACGTCACAAAAAAAGTACGAGTTTTGCAATATTTACAATACATATTTTTATAAATATAAATTATTCAAGGAATGTTTAGAAAGTAGTTAGCCAAGAAAATATGTTTGATCATTCTCTTTATTTATAATCAAGCTGTATTGAAGAGATATATAAGATAAGATCTGTTTAAAATATGTTTTGAGTTGAAAAAAATTATCCTTTTAACATTGACACAATTGAGGAGTATTGAACACGTGTTTAAAACACTTTAAAATGTATATCATGTTAATTACACAAGGGCAAAACACTTCCGTATACATATATACACGTGTTTAAATCACAAATCATTATATCTAATAAATAGGTTAGTTTCTATAATAATTATTTTCAAAATTATATTATTAATGTTTAGTGATTGATTAGCCATATAAAATTATTTTAGATTGTTTTGATTAAACTTTATCTTCCTTTTCTGACTCTCTCTATACTGCTTTTAAACAATATTATGACATTCTATTTCTTATAATTTTTAGAAATAAATCAAAAAATTAATTACCATAATAACACAAATAGCAATAGTTAAATGATAAATTAAAATATACAGTTTATTAA